TGGTTGTCTAGCATTTGACACAGAGTGAGCATCAAGCATTTGACACAGAGTGAGCACCAAACATTTGGCTCACAGGGTGATTGTCAAGCAGTGGCAAACAGAGTGAGCATCAAGCATTTGGTTCACAGGATGAGTGTCAAATAGTGGCACATAGAGTGAACATCAAGCATTTGGTTCACAGAGTGATTGTCAAGCAGTGGCACATACAGTGAGCATCAAGCATTTGGCATAGAGTGACTGTCAAGCAGTGGCACACAGAGTGAGCATCAAGCATTTGGTTCACAGGTGATGAGTGTCAAGCAGTGGCACACAGAGTGAGCATTAAGCATTTGGCTCACAGGGTGAGCATCAAGCAGTGGCACATTGAGGGAGCATGAAGCATTTGGCTCAGAGGGTGAGTGTCAAGCAGTGGCACATTGAGAAAGCGTCAAGCATTTGTCTCACAGGGGGAGTGTCAGGCATTTGGCACAGGATGAGTGTCAATCGTTTGGTTCACGGATTGAGGATAAAGCATTTGGCACACAGAGTGAGCATCACGAGTTGTCAGACTAAATGAGTGTCAATCATTTAGCACTGATATTGAGTATTAAGCATTTGGCATAGAGATGGGGTGCCAAGCATTTGGCAGAGGGTCAATCATAGGCACACAGTGTGAGTGTCAAACATTTGGCTCACAGAGTGAATATCAAGTATTGGCTTACATAGTGACTGCTAAACAGTTAGCACACAGAGTGAGTATCAAGGTTTTGTCACATAGTGTAAGTATCAAACTTCTGCTTCTCAGAGTGAGCATAAAACATTTCGCCTATTGTGTGACCCCAGCGTCTCACTTACTGAGGAATTATCGAGGGTTTCATACGTAGTCTTGTCATCTCGCCTATCTAGTAAGTATCAAGCATCTCGGTTACTTGTAACGTTCCCTATTGCGAGAATATCAAGCACTTTACTTACTGTATGAGTATCAAGCATCTCGGTTACTGTGTAACGTTCCCTACTGCGTGAATATCAAGCACTTTACCAACTGTATGAGTGTCAAGCATCTCGGTTACTGTGTAACATTCCATACTGAGTGAATATCAAGCACTTCGACAACTGTATGAGTGTCAAGCATCTCGGTTACTGTGTAACGTCCACTACTGCGAGAATATCAAGCGCTTTACCAACTGTATGAGTGTCAAGCATCTCGGTTACTGTGTAACATTCCATACTGAGTGAATATCAAGCACTTCACCAACTGTAGGAGTGTCAAGCCTCTCGGTTACTGTGTAACATTCCCTACTGCGTGAATATCAAGCACTGTACCAACTGTATGAGTGTCAAGCATCTCGGTTACTGTGTAACATTCCATACTGAGTGAATATCAAGCACTTCACCAACTGTAGGAGTGTCAAGCATCTCGGTTACTGTGTAACGTCCCCTACTGCGTGAATATCAAGCACTGTACCTACAGTATGAGTGTCAAGCATCTCGGTTACTGTGTAACGTCCCCTACTGCGTGAATATCAAGCACTTCACCTACTGTGTGAGTGTCAAGCATCTCGGTTACTGTGTAACGTCCCCTACTGCGTGAATATCAAGCACTTCAACTACTGTGTGGGTACCAAGCATCTTCTCAAGTGTATGAAAATCAATCAATTATCTGGATGTGATACATCTGTTGAGTTGCAATCATGTCGCCTACTTTCATGTGTCCATATCACCTTCTGTGTGATATTTCCCATTTATTGTACGATTGTATGGTCACATCATATAATGAAATACCATATTGTCTACAGTGTAACAAATTCCACCTATTGAAGACCATAATCGTGTGACCATTTCATCTATTGTGTGACAATTTGCATACTGTGTGACCATCATGATAATCGTGTGACCATTTCATCTGTTATGTGATCATCTGCCTACTGCCTGACCATCTCGTCTGTAGTGTGACCATTTCATCTATTGTGTGACCACCTGCCTACTGTATGACCATATCGCCTGTAGTGTGAACATTCAGTCGATTGTATGACTATCTGCCTATTGTATGACCATCTCAAATTATGTATGACCATCTTCGTCTGTCGTGTGGCCATGTCATCTATTGTATGACTATCTGTCTACTGTATGACCATCTCAAATTATGTATGACCATCTTCGCCTGTCGTGTGGCCATTTCATCTATTGTATGACTATCTGTCTACTGTATGACCATCTCAAATTATGCATGACCATCTTCGTCTGTCGTGTGGCCATTTCATCTATTGTATGACTATCTGTCTACTGTATGACCATCTCAAATTATGCATGACCATCTTCGCCTGTCGGATGGCCATTTCATCTATTGTATGACTATCTGCCTATTGTATGACCATCTCAAATTATGTATGACCATCTTCGCCTGTCGTGTGGCCATGTCATCTATTGTATGACTATCTGTCTACTGTATGACCATCTCAGATTGTTCATGACCATCTTCGCCTGTCGTGTGGCCATTTCATCTATTGTATGACTATCTGCCTATTGTATGACCATCTCAAATTATGTATGACCATCTTCGCCTGTCGTGTGGCCATGTCATCTATTGTATGACTATCTGTCTACTGTATGACCATCTCAAATTATGCATGACCATCTTCGCCTGTCGTGAGGCCATTTCATCTATTGTATGACTATCTGCTTACTGTCCCACGTATGACATCATCGTCTCTCCTGCTGTATGACCACATCGTCTGTGTGACATAACATAAAAGTAAACATCACGCTTATTGCATGATCATCTTGCCTTTTGTGTAAGACAATCTCGCCTACTGCGTGAAAATTCCCTTTTGTATGACATCCTATACTCCTGTATGACAACCTCGCCTCCTGTATGATACTTTCGTCTGGGGTGTGACCATACATTGACTGTATGACAAACCACGCCCTCTGTGTATGACAATGTCATTTACAGCGCGACCATCCCACCTACGTGCTGGCATCATTTTCAGAGTCAATGACACACGTACGAAGTCAGTTAACGGCCCATCTGATCACTCGCCGTAATAATGACCACTGTCACCTTCCAGCTCTGACCACCTGCTCCCCGAGGTACCCCCCGCTAGTCCCTGCACGGGCTAATGGGGGCGGTTCAAGACTGTAATCCCATGCAGCGCTCACAGACAGAGCAGTATCCTCCACAACAAATCAAACTTAAAACCCATGCACCCCGACGTTCCTGTCACAACAAAAGCCCAACGTCTACTGTTACGATGCTGTCAGTCATATGTTTTACTGTCACCATAGACCACCATTCTACTCGTATAACACACCAAGCTATTTCTTCTCCGTAATTAGCAAGTGACGGGGCCTTAGTTACAATATTTAACGAAGTTGCGTGCTGTTTCCAGTTCTTCCTCGACTTAACGGGCCATTAAGTATTCCTGCCTCTTAACCATGTCAAACAGCACGGGTTATTTTAACTCCAACTAGCTGTATTCGCGGTAGTTCGCACGGATATAAAAAAAACAACATGCCCGTTCTCGTAATCCATCTTGTAGCACTAGCGATCTAATAAACTCGCTAATTTTTACATGCTAAGACAAATGTTCATCTATTGCAATGGCATCGATTATTAATAGAAATAAAACGATTTGCATGACTTTTGCTTTTTCCCAGGAACGATTTATATACACCAAGTCATCTTCATCTCCACGGGAAGCGGCGCTATGAAAATTGTGAGAAAACATGTTTACAACTCTCCTTAAAGGTTTTGAAAAGAAACGGCGAAGTAATTCCAAACCTATGCACTTCCTCTTATATCTGTACTTACTCGCAACATGGCGTTATTTATAAATATAGTTTAAATTTAAAAATGCAAAATAGATACATATGAACTTAAAGCCTTAAAGCATCTATTTTCATCTGACCATTAATTAATGTTAATGACCTTTGTAAAGATGTCGCTAATGCAGCTGTGTTGGGCATGCTGTGTACGACGTCGCGGTCACTGGCGCTGGAGATGCTTACATTCATGTCGTTGATCCTGGGATAGTTTGCATTACACTAGTCTGTTCCGACGCGAGCCTCCATAGCGGTCAACTAGTGAACAAATCACTTAATCGATAAAAGGTAGATTTAAGTGTCCCATTCGACATGTTCTAATACGAAAACACAGGTTAGACGCTTCAAAGCTTCCAATCTTCGACGCATAACCCGCACCTTTGATAAATGTTACTCTGTAGAATTTAGAATCGGGATATGTCCACGCAATTACCTTACACAAACTACCATCTCATTATTTTCACTTTAACCCCCTTTCGTACAGATTACCTCCGCTTAATGAACATCAATTTGTATTACCCAACTGTAATGGTAGAACAACATATGCATACTGTGCGGAAAATTTCATTTCTGCGGGTAGGTTTTCCTCTCCGGAGGAGCTTATGAATAAACATATATTGTAATGCATTTAAATTAAAACAAATTATCTCTTGGCCAGCCCCGACCCCTTCAACCCCGAAACGACGCGGAATGAGCCTTGGGCTTGGTGGCCAGTGACCCCTCAGCTTCCCACAACCTTCCCCCTAAGTCCCGCCCTCAGCCTGGGACGCCACACGACATTCGCATATCCCGGCCGTCGTCAAGGCAAGCAGGCGGGACATCACAACGACCTGCCGGAGATCTCAGTCGCAACTGCCATGCCAACTTACAAAACCAAACTTCACACTTCTTCTTAACGATTCTCCAGGCGATGCCTCCTCCCCAGATCAATGATCCATTATTGTGTGCATGCCGGGTCTCCTGTATTCCTAAATGGGACAGCTGCGCCGAAGGGTCTTGATTGGTACACAGTTTTGCTACCTAGGTGTCAGACTTGCCGAATGCGCTAATTACTCCGGACTCGCGTGTGTTCTACCGTCGTGGTCACTGGAAGCTTTTCATTTGGACGAGCAACTGAGGGAGGACGATTTTGTGTGTGTATACCTGAATAGGAATGCTTATGAAGCCGTAATCACAACAGTCTAGCCCCGTGTTCTACAATGTCGTCTGCTACTCTTTCCAGTGTGTCGTCTGCTGCATTACGCGGGCAGGATCTTAACAAAGACATAATGTACGATACATTTCAAACCTGGGCACTGCAGAATTATGGAGACAGCGGTAAGACCAAGACAGTTACAAGGAAGAAATATACCCGTATTGTGCATATTTTGGCCGGAGAGGAACCACCAACAGCCGAGAACTCCAAATTTAGATTTTGGGTAAAAGCCAAAGGTTTTCGATTGGGACCCATACCTGGAAATGGATTGTCTTACAACAATGCTGAGAAAGTGCTATACGTCCCGTCACGCGTACAGGTAAGTGGCAATCAGTCTATGTTTGTTTCTCCACCCCCACCCCCTACACCTGTGTACACCTAGCTCAGCACTGTTTGCATGACAGTACTTATTATCTCTTCGATTTTCAGATACGCTGCTCTAGACCAGCGTTGGGCTGATATCGGCTCGCCGCTAGTCCGTCAATCCCCATATCGGGCGAGAGCAGATTGGAGAAGACGTTAGCTCCTCAATCTTAATAACTTCATCTCACTTCGATCTCCTCAAATTCCCTGTTTAATTTTTGTCCCGATCAGTTCCGAGCTTGCGACCATAAAGCCGGTTGACAGGGACAGGCACTGTAGAATACGCCACAGACTGCAGATTGTCAGGTCCCAATCACGCTATTTGATAAATCACAATAACCCCGCACTAAAAGTTTGAGCTCAATTCGAGTGTTATTGCTAGGAATAATGAACAGAATAGTAATTTGTGTTGTCCTTCTGGCCCCGAACCCTTCTATCCCCCTACGGGAAGACCCTATTCCGGGTTCACCCCACAGATGACACAGGACAGATAAGCTACTCAATTGGCAAAAAGATGATATGCAAAGTGCTTGTTGTAATAAAGATAGTGAGAATTGTTCATAAACGCTAGATTGAAATCACCCGTTGGTGTATGTCCCGTAAAATACGGGGAATCTCTAGGGGCTCAGGGATCCCATGAATTGAAATTGAATTCACGCACTACGGACTTGAATCTATTATCAGTCAGTGAGGGGTTGACGGTGGGTGATGGCAGCGTAAACCCTTCTCCACCACTATCGATTGTAAAAGCTCCCGTTCTAGCCCATTCTGACATCTAACCAGCCCGGCAAGACGGCCGACCGGCCACCGACCGGCAATCGCCAAACTCAGGAAGCCCCACACTTCACAAGTCTCGTTTTGCGACCCCCTTGACCCGACAAGTATTCCCGGAGTCGTATCCGGACTTATTAGGGCAGCGGTTCTAGTTTCTTAACATGAGAGGGTCCGTAAGTGTGTAGGATCCATTTAATAAACTCTGTCGGAGGCTGAGAAAGTTTACGGTGACGTAAGGACATGATAGAGGACAAGGTGTAATAAAACTGAATTGTCGATAGGTCGCATTCAAGACAGAACTACTCCATCGACAACCACCTTACCTCTCCTATCGCCAACATGGGCATCGCGCTGCCGAGGAATTATGCTAATTCTATTTTTTTCACAGAGCTTATTTCGACCTCGTAGGAGACAGTCTCGGACAGATTTTAGAGGATCGAATTGACTAAAATTGACCCATGTTCCAGCTCTGATAACTGGGATCGCATTGCCTCAAAGGCCAAGCACAGATACGTCCTATTAAAGGCCACTATTCAGGTTGCAGCGGATTATTGAAGAGTCCCGAGTCGGCCCTAATTGCGCGTCCAACGACCAGGTAGTTTCTCCCCCTCCTCTCTTCTCTCCTCCCCCCGCCCCGCAGTCTGACTGCTGCAGTGTCATACGAAGGCTGGGGAACGTCTTGATAAAATTCATATAACTAAGGTTTCCATAGAAACTAGAATCACCAACATACGCCCATCGAATCTCGTGGCTTTAAGTTAATTAGCAAAATCATGGGTCTTTGTCTGACATAAGACATGCCCTGATGTGTGTGTTATTGTTTCTTGTGAATAATTCTTCGCCACATAGCTTGTAGGTAATTTGTGAGAGAGAGATAAACGATTGTGTTGCTCGCTTCGATTCATCTTTCATACGGGCTCACAAACGAGCACCGAAGCCCTTATCTTGGTTGATATGAAACACCAAAGGATGGGGAAGTTTCTTTGGCATTTACAGATTCATCTCCGATGATGTTTGAAAAAGCTATTAGTTGAGAGACGATGGCTGTACGGGTAGGGTGTCCCCTTAATGTAACGCGCAGGCTGGACAGAGCACTATCCCATCTCAAACTGTCACGATGTATAATGTAACTTGCTTTGCTTCCAAGCATCGTCACTCAGTAGTCATGGCAACGAGAGTTCCGTCATCCGGCCGATTTCATGGGGGACTAGCAGGAATCTCAGTGTTCGAAGAATTGCAGGTCGAACCCATACTACAGAAGCCATTTCACAGAATGGATAAATCGTATTTTCTCTGCGGTTGAAAGCTTTCTCCTCCCGCAGTTCAGCCCCTGTCTGCTTTGATAAGGTTCGTCCAAAATGTCAATAGAATCTCCCTGAAGAATTCCTGTCAACGACTCGTTACAACAATATTTTCCATCCTTATTCCATCCCGCTCAAGTGATGTGTCCCCTATGTCCTAACTCTCACCGCTTCGTTAGCGACAGGGTCCTCAATTTAATCTCGACGATACAGCATTTAGAGATTTGTGCAATTAACTTGAAACTCGCTGCCTTCGGCTAAACCTAGGCTTGCATTCATAATCTATATCTCCTTACAGCTGTAGCGTTTTTTAAGTTCAAAATGTTCCTAAAATGAACGGAAAATTGGCTGATAATTGACTTAAAACTACTCAACTGTCCACATTTATTGAGGGTCTATAATATACAGTCGAAGTAATTTTAAACTTCAGGAGAACATGGTCGGCGGTTGTAGTCGCCCGCCGCGGGATACGTCCAGGGAACAAATAACTCACAAAAACGGTAAAAGCAATCATTCCGCCGATATCTAGATTGTGAGTTATTGTGAAACTCTTGAAATTAGAAAAAGAAAAATATTACCAATACATCTAATGTCCAAAAACTGAAGATTGGATGAACAGAGAGATAAAACAAATTTTTACAGGAGGTTTTGAAATATCGCAGTGAACATAGTTAGGGTTTTAGACTGAATACACTTCCTACAACGAAGATACATGCATTTACTATTTAAATGAAAGAAACTTGCCAGGAAATGATTAGTCATAACGGGTTATTATAAATATCGAAAATGACTGGAGTTTCAATATCAAAAACAGTCGTGTTTGTTTCAGCAAGGTTAAATCGTCAATATTTAACTAAAAGTGAGGTTCAATTTTACATTTTGCAGCTTTAAGTGATATCGACTAAAATAAAATTCAACATGACACTGTGTAATCGAATTTGCAGAATTCAAGTTCAAGAATAATATCATATAACCCCTTATGGTTTTAGTAGACAATGAGTAGTTTTGTGTAGGAAATAACTTCAAATCCATTTTTCCAAATCTAATGTTATGTAAGCAATGGGTATTAAAGCTAACAGTGAAAGTAGAAGGATGACCAATTATTTCGTTTCGTAGTTTCGTTTTACATACACCCAAAGCAGTTGAAAATTAACATACATTGTAACCCGAATACACGATAAGAAAATATTTTAATTTGTCGTAATACATCAAATATACAAACACTTTTTCTAATTATGTGATCTTATCCTAAACGCTTCTGGGGCTTTTCAAGATTTATCGACAATAATGAAACTTCACTCGAGGTTTCTATATCATAATACTTTCCACATTGCGCGGATGGGTGTAGTAGATGTTGTACGAACTCCACGTCGGCGGGTGCTGATTTCAGTTAACGAAAAGAGCTGTCATCCATTGTTCCAGGAATTCTAAACATCTGTACGTCCGATTTTCCGAGTCGGAAGTTTGACGGATCTGACATGTCGAACTGGGGATGCATAAATAGTCATAATGATCCGAGATGTTTTCGATCGATGTTGAAGATAGCTTTCTCAAGTCCGAGTGCCCGCCTCTTGTCATCAGCTGTCGAAGCTAGAAAATATATACATATGTGTTTTTAAAAACAGAGCATTTCTTTCGTTCCTGTGGGCAAATCTTTTCCACAGATTTCAAGAAAACTATTTTCACCATTAATAACACACATTACATTATTCAAAGAGTTATATTTAATGATCATAATACTAATATTGATGATGATGAATATTATGATGGCCATGATGATAATACTGGTTAGTAACTGATGTTACTCCTTATGATTATATGCCTAACTGACATGTCAATAATAATTGCGATAATTATCATAATTTTTTATCGAAATGCCGGCTATGTTCAATACACAGGTAAAACTTGTTTCGCTCGATGCTTATACTCGCACGGGCCTTTTTACTAATAGTATTTATTGCCCTGAACCAGGATCTTAATTATGGACGACATTTTTGTTATTTCTATTTTCTAAAGTCTGTACGTATGTACCAAGGTAAACCCAGACACGCCTTCTGACAATTTTTATTCTGATTCGGGGCACGCATGATGAAATGTGATGCCCTAAATGAGTTCACGTAGCTGCTGCTGTGTCTGTCAGCATCTTTCCATTGACGGGTAGATTCAGCATAAACTTTGCATTCTTTGTTATCCCATCACAGAATAATTTGTTTCATTTTCATCAAATACAGACTTTATCTTGCCCAATTTCCGAATTAAGATACACGATATATCTGTTATATATTAACTAATATATCCCCGTTTTAAACAGGAAACATAAAATCTTGTCTTCACTGAATTCCACGTCATGACAATCGGAATTAAGATCAATGAGGACATGGGTGTATGACGACCCCACAGACCTCCCCAACACCCCCCGTCCTGGGCTGACCTATTGTTAAAAGTAATCAGAAGCTAGCTTCTATCATCTTTCTGCGTCGCACCATTACAAAGGTTCATCGGCGTGCTGTTTTCCATGGCCCTATTTTCTCACTGCACTTATCGCCGTGTAATAACCGTCCATACCTAATTATCACTTATTACCTAACAAACAATGTCACTCCCGAGTCGGAGGTCTGAGCATTGGTGACGCTAATCACAAGCCGGTGTTATCCCAAACTGGTGACTCTGCCCAAAAGATCCGATCGATGGTGGTTATGTAAAAGAGTGATTAAATAATGTCTCTCCCAAATTAGTACTGCGTTTGGTGGACATTGGGCATTGTGCTGTCGGTAAGCTGGGAATCATTGTCTATCAGCGTATTGATCTTTCAAATGGACACGGAGGGCTGGGACTTATCTGTGGCCACACAAAGGCAGTTTTTCAATAACAGTGATATTGCCTCAGCTGTGAATGAAGTAG